GGGTAGCAAACGATGTGGTGTGCCGGAACCAAGGCCATTCGGGTCCCTCCGTCGCCCCTCCCGTCCCCGAAACCCGCGAAGAGGAGGTCGACGACGGCGGCGACGAGATCAGGCCTGTTGACCCTGTCGTCCTGGTGGTCGGATCCTCGGGGGAGATAACTGAGGAAAGGCAGGAGGGGGCTGAGGAGAAGAAGGCGGAACTGAAGCCGATGAAGGACCACATAGATCGCGACTCCCAGCAGCAGGCAAAGAAACCGCCGTCCAAGGACCTCAAGGAAATCGCCAGCAGCTTCTGGCTCGCGGCCTCCGTGTTCAGCAAAAAGCTTCAGAAGTGGGGGAGAAGACAGAAGCTGAAGAAGCAAGGCGGCGACGCCGCAATGCCGGCGGAGAAGCCAGCCAAGACATCCCGGCGGTTCCGCGACACGCAGTCGGAGGTCGCCGTGGATGCCTCCGGCCGGAGATCCTGCGACACCGACCCGCGCTTCTCTCTGGACGCCGGCCGGATGTCCTTCGATGACCCCAGGTTCTCGTGGGACGAGCCGAGGGCGTCTTGGGACGGGTACCTGTTTGGAGGCCGATCCGTGCTCCCTCGGCTCCCTCCCATGCTCTCCGTCGTCGAGGACGCCCCCGCCCCTGCCGTCCAACGGTCAGACTACCTGATCCCCGTCGAGGAGGACGCCGCGATCCCAGGGGGGTCCACGCAGACTCGAGACTACTACTTGGACTCCTCCAGTCGGCGGAGGCGAAGCCTCGACCGCTCCAGCTCCGTCAGGGAGCAGCCTGTCGAGACCAGTGAGCCTAAGCCGGTCTCCAACGGGAAGGTATCCCCTGCAAATGGAATGGACTTCTTACACTTTCACCATGACACCTTACTTGACCGGGATGTGAAAGACTGGAGCTCGAATTCTCTGAGGGACGATTACTCGGGCAGCTTCGAGTCGGCTTTCAGGGATCCTCACAGAGGTGCTGCTGCCAAAAAGTCCAGGAGGTGGAGCAAAGCATGGAATATATGGGGTTTTATTCAGCGAAGAAACAGTGGCAGAGGAGAAACCAATATGGTCGAGCGATCCTTGTCGGAGACCTGGCCGGAGCTAGGATCCAAGAGCTTTAGTAGCAAGATTCTCCGGAGTAATAGCAGTGTGAGCTTCAGGAGCTCTTTCAGTGGCAGTGCCGGGTTTGGGGGCACGAAGAACAGCAGTACGAAGCCCAATGGCAATCATAAGAACAGGAGAGATGAATTTGGTTTGGAGAGGAACAGAAGTGCTCGGTATTCTCCAAACCATGTAGACAATGGCATGCTGCGGTTTTACTTGACGCCGATGCGAAATAGCCGGAGGACTGGAGTTTCAGCGAGCGGGAGACAGATACCTTCCCAATACTTCACAAGGAGCATGCTTGGATTGCATTGAGCTGATTCTTCCTTCCTTCTATCAGGTTCCTATTCTTCTGTTAAATCTGTGTCTTATTCTGCTGGAGATTGTTGGAACAATGCTGTTTTTTGTGCTTCAACAATAATTGCCTTCGCCTAACCCACTTTAAATTGTGATCAACTTACAGATTGTTGGAGAATAACATCTGATCATTATGGAACCTACACTAACCAGTGAGATCAACTTATTAGCAATGGTAGTTGGTCAAACCTACCAATATGCTACTAACTTTTACTTGCAGCTGTTTTGTTGTATGCCCCCTGTTGTCGCTTTTCCTGCATCTTCTTAACATGCTTAATAAGTTCACCATAGGGTTCATCCATGCAGACTATGTGGTCCAATATTTTAGTCGAATCTAAATATGATGCTTGCCATATGTATATCCAGTCTGCTATCTGTTTTTTCAAGACAACTTGAATGATATACATATTAATGGAAAATTTTGCTTGTTTTCAGTTTATTTCCGTTTGTACTCTAAAATGTGCATCAGGCTTCCTCATTCTGGCAGAGTGTTATTCCTCGATTGTAGTTTTACCAATACTTATGAAACCATTGCTAACAGTATGTATCATTTCGTGTTGTTGATCTCAACTCATTAATTTGCTTGAGTTGAAGTTGCAATGTTGGGGTGCTTGTATATACCATATGTAAGTACAGTATTAGCAAAGATAATTGTTTGCTAATTAATTCTCCATCCCCAAAGTGTCTGTTAACCCTACTTTTTGACATTGGATTAGGTGAGACATTTGTTGCGTGGCCAAATGAGTTTACTGATTTATGCTGTGGAGGGGAATCAATAATCAGTCCAATTGTGCTTAGGGCTATCAGGAAATGAACATTTGCTGTAATATGCCCTGCACATGTTCTCCTCCAACATGATGCTGGCCCCAGCAGTCTGGTCACTTCAGATCAATTCAGTCTGTTTAGCCATCTTTCTCAATCATGTAATTTGCCTAGCTCTTTCTCTTCGGATGCTCTTTATGCTGGTCCACCCGAAAGATTGATGAAGACAGTTGAAAGGAGGTTTTGAGGAGCAAAGACAGCTCGATACCACTTCAGAGGCAGCCGACCGGCGAAGTGAGGACCGGTTGTTGTGACATCAGAGCTACAGCAGGACACTTTGAAAAGTTGAACCAACTCTGAAGGATCAAAGCATGTGACATTAGGCTGCCTGTCATGCTAATCTTAGAACGAAACCAAATGACCTGTTTAGTAGCTTGAGATTTTAACCTGTGAATGAAATTTATGGTCATTTTATTCCGTTGTTAATGCTTCCGAAATGGCTAGAGCTCCTGTTTATCTATTTATTAGTAAGAGATTACATGTTACTATCATCGGCAAAAGATGATTTGATACTTGGTCAGATGCCTAACACCATGATTGTCTGCTTTCATTTTGTTTATGCAGGTGATCCTGTTCAGAGCAGAAAATGTGGTCATCACTCTGGGATTATTTTCTTTTCTTCTTGGTTCATGGACCCTCACTGCGAAAGTGTAATAACATTTTTTTCGGTAAATCGAAGTCAGCTTGATGCTGAGGCCATGTTACATTATGCTCATATATATGGGGACTGGGAATGACAAAAAGCTCAAGTATGGGAACTTGATGAATCATGAATCAGGGGGATTCAGATTTCACTTTGCTTCTAGACCTTGCCACATTTTACCCAGGAGCCGGTGATACCGCCTCAAATCCAGCTGAAAACTACTAATTCTGGGTTGATCAGATCAAAAGATTTATAATGGCAGCCTAATTTGAGTGTCAGTCCTTTTCCTATCTTTTCCTCCATGTCATTTGCACAGCATGAGACGATACCTGAGTCTGCAAGCAAGCAAACAGGACACAGCGTGAAACACTCGTTGGAGAAGAAAGGTGACTGCACTAACTCTACCCTGGAGATTATTTGTGTTGTTCTTACCCATAAATTCCCAGGCCTTGTCAATAATTCTCTTGTTCTTGCAGTCTCTATGTGTCTTAAGCAGTTCACATTGTTATGTCAAGTGCATAAATTTTGGGGTTCTCACTCGGTGATAAGAACACTGCAATCACCAAACAACCCATGGGGTGCATGAGAATAAACTCAAAGACCGTATGAATCAATTATTTATCGAATACAAATAAAATTACAAGTGTATAAAGAACAATTAATTGTTCATCGAACACCAAATTATTTAGTTATCTTATCCATACGATAGATTTTTGCTTTCTTTAGTTATCGGCCAAACGTGGCATAGTATTTGATGTATCTTCATCCACACTAGCTAGATATAATTGCATCGATATATATATTGTTAGTGAACCTTTACATTGTGGTTGAGGTGTCAGCATGACTCGGTTCGACTAGCGATATCTTGGAGCGTCTTGGGGACGAAGGTCTTGCCTGATCGGGTCGTGCTCGGATTTGGTGTGGACGCTCTACTTTCGTGAACCCGTCCACCTTTATTATGCCTCGGATTTCTGCACACAGGCTTGGGTCGAGATGGGGTGATCCTGATTTTGACCCCTCCAAAGCTTAAGTCAGTAGGGTTATCGTGTTTTTCCGATGCCCCTCGTCAGATGCTGGCAAGGGGTTCTTATTGTAGCCCCTGGGAGGTCGGTCATATGTGACCTTTGTCAGCACCAACCCCTTGGGCGGCAAACATACCTTCGGACGTCCGTCGCCCGGGATACGTGGGAAGGCACCATGTGGCGTCGTCTCGGGCTTCTAGGAGTGGTCATTGCTGAATTGGTCGACGCGACATCGAACGACATGGGGAGAGGACAATTGATGTCCCGGATTTCTAACAGAGCTTCTGTCATTGCCATATATATATATATATATATATATATATATATATATATATATATATATATATATATATATATATATATATATATATATATATATATATATATATATATATA